TAATAGGAGCATAGAATTCAGGCCACTAGCTCAGAAAATGCTCCGTTTTAGAGGTCTGAAAATGGGCACTAGTCTCTCATTTAGAGTGCTAAAGTATTCAAAACCCCAAGTGAAACTTTAATCCTGTAGTACAAGCTCTAAGGATGAGGTGTCTATGTGTGTGCRCTTAAGAAATAATTATTTCATTGCTCTGACCGTTGAATACTTGATGCTTTTGATGATTGCCCTGCCAGTCAAAAAATGAAATTGCTAATGAGAAGTGAAATGGCTAYGAAGAACAGAAAATATGAGGGCTGAGTCCGTCTCTGAGAGAAGATGCCCAGGGCATTGCTCGGGCACCTCCCTCTCATGTGGGGATGAAACTTGCTGYGTTTCAGGCTTTACCCAAACCCCCTTGTCTTATCCCTGGCCACCACCTAGAAGAGCTTGGCCGCATCCTCTTTACGCTCTTCTGCAGCCTAAGCAGGCCTAGCTCGCTTCGTCTTTCCTCACACGATAGATGCTCCACTCCCTTTATCGTCTTCATTGCTCTACTCCGGAGCCTCTCGAGAAGTTCCATGTCCCTCTTGTACCGGGGAGCCCAGCACTGCACACAGTGCCCCAGSTRCGGCCTCACCAGAGCTGAGCAGAGAGGCAGGATCCCCTGCCTTGACCTGCTGGCAACACTCCTCCCGACGCAGGCCCGGATCCCATTGGCCTTCGCGGCCACGAGGGCATGCTGCCGCCTCACGGGTGGCCTGTTGTCAAGCAGGACTCCCAAATCGCTCGCCGCGGAGATGCTCTCCAGCAGCTCAAGCCCAGTGCTGTACTGGTGTCTGGACTTATTCCTCCCTAGGTGCAGGACCCTGCCCTTGCCCTTGTTGTCCTCTCTGCCCAACTCTGCMACCTGTCCCGGTCCCTCTGAGGGGCAGCCCAGCCCTCTGGGGCGTCAGCCACTCCCCCCACCATGGTAGCACCCGCAGGCTTGCGGAGGGGGCCCTCTGTCTCCTCATCCAAGTCCTGGATGAACAAATTAAACAGCACGGGGCCCAGGAGTCACCCCTGGCCGCGGGGGACCCCACTGGCCGCAGGCCTCCAGCTGGACTCGGCACCATTTAGGTCAACCCTCTGAGCTTTTCTCCCTCCTTTTTCTTCTTTCCTTAGCTCAGCCTTCTTTGCTCGCTTTATTTCTTCCCTTTTGTCCCTCGTGTCTCCCCAGTTTTGGCACCACTCTTTCTCCCCCTTGCTTTCTGCACCTCTTCCCTCCCCTCTTTTCACTTTCTGTATCGCTTTCCTTCACTACTCCTTTCTTGGCTCACATTTATTTATTTAGTTAGTTAGTTAGTTTTCTTCATTTATTCCTTTTCCTTTGCCCTTTCTCTTTCGCCTCCTCCTTCTCCTTCTCGCTCTCTTCCTTCTCCGTTCAGTTTGCCTTTGCGGCCCTCYCTCTCTCGTCTTTCTCCTTCTGCGTCTCTTTCTGCGTCTCCTTCTCCTCCTCTTCTCTCTCCTCCGCCAGCCCCTTCTCCTTCTCTTTCGCCGCCGCCTCCTCTTTCTTGGGGCTCTCGCGGCCCGTGAGCTGCTGGCAGGACTGGGGGAAGTCTGCGGACTGGGGGAAACTGCAGGACTGCGCGCCCTCAGCGGGGCCATGCGCGCCCCGGGCGCCGCAGCACATGGCCTGGCCCATGCCATGGTCCTGTGCTGCAGCCTTGGTCCATGTGCGGTGTGGGAGCGCTGCCGTTGGGGTCTTGCCGCCCTGCTGGCTCCTGCTGTGCTCCCTTTGCTCTGTGAGGCTGAGCTTATTGTTGGACTAGCTGCCAGCTTGAACACCTGGCTCTGCTCTGCTGAAAATCCCCAGGACAGAGGCCCCACTCACCACACAGCTCCATGTGCCCTCTTATTCCTTGAGAAAGGAGGCCTTAGTCTTTGAAAAGGGCGATCAGGAGGGCCTGTGCCCCGAGGATCTTGGCAGAGCCCAGATGTTGCCCAGATCTCACAGCTTCCTCTCAACTCATGGTAGTGTCTGATATATCTGCTCCTCCATAACAGTCACAGTACTTAAGCATGGCTCTTTATTCTTCCATTAAAATCTGCCTTTTGCTTCATACAAATATAGTCTTTAGAATTGATTAGAATTACCGTAGATGAATTGCTGATGATTTTTATATTGTTTCAAGTGTTTTAATGTCAGCAGAACATTGAAAAGCTTTCTCCGGTCACCTGTTTCAGCAGAAAATCAACTGACCATTTTCTACCGCAGAGTTTCTACACTTTTGAGACTGGCTGTAGCTTTTAGCATTTTCCATGTTCTTTCCAAATAGCATACAGCTGTATGTAATAGATTTCCAGAGAAGAAACAGCTATGGTACTGCCACTAGTATTCCTAGGTTTTGTATGAAGGATTTAGCTCTGTTAGGAAGCAGCAAAACACGGCTTTCTTATAGTAGATTGTCCCCCCACCATGGCACTCCTTCAATTTTTGCAGATGGAATAATATAATGGAATTTTGTTCTGTTTCACATGTATTGCTTAAATACGGGTACATTGTCATGAGTGGGAAGGGCTTTCAGGCTGAATTCACTAGAGCATACAGGCCACCTAAAGCCAATTTTTCCACTGATTTGAGGTGACTGCCAGTCAGGCACCAGAACAGGCTGAGGCAGCTCTGGGCTTTGGCTCCCTAAGATGGTGAGCTGGTGCAAGGGGGTAGGCGAGAGACTAGAAAGGCAGCAAAGGAGGGAGCCCAAGAGGCTGCTGAGCACCCCCGCTTTCTCCCAAATTGTAGCAAGGCTGCAGTCGCCGACCACGGCACGGAGCCCAGAGAGAACGGAGCCCAAACAAAACTCCTGCCCCGACCGTTGGGCCGCAACGGACGCGACGCAGGCCACGCCTCCGCACTACGTCACAGCTCCCCCCTCCCCGCCGGGTGGCACCGTCCGCACATGCGTGTTTTAAGGCACCGCCTGTTACCGTAGAAACAGCGGGTCATCTCCGCCTCTTCCGGCTTCGCATGGCGCCGTCTCTTCCGGTGCGGGGGGTAATATGGTGAGTTGCCCCCTGCCTCGGTTGGTGCGTTTCGGGGTGTTTGTGGCAGTCGAGGGCGGAGGCCTGGCTGGGCTCCCCGAGCCAGGCCCCGGCGCGGCCGGGGGCGCGTGGAGTCGCCGGCGCTGCTGGGCCGCGGTGACGTGTGGGCGGGGGAGGGGCGGCCGTTGCCCGCCGGCGCGCGCCGGGAGCCGTTACCCTCCCCACCCCCGCC